ACCCTCACTACCTTATGCCCAAGAGAAAAATGGGGAGGGGGGCTCAGAGGGTTCATGGGTGCCGGGGGAAGACCTCAAGGGCACCAGTGAGCCCAAGAGCACCATGTTGGCAACTCCAGGTGTGTGACCTCATTGTAGGAGCTTGTCTTAACAACAAGAGTGAACATCCATCTGGTGCTTTGAAGATATAAGAGCAGCTATGGAGGGAAGAAGCAGTTGAGTACCCCCTGCACAAACGCCTCAGCTTTAGTCAGGGTTTTGTGCAAAAGTAGGGAACCTAATAGCTAATATAACCTCTCTATATGTCCCCCATGGCTCTCTCTCTGCAGGCCACTCCCCTAAATGAACCTGCTCCACCCCAGTGCTTTTGCCTGGGTGGCTTGTGTCATGGGAATTTGATGACGCCTCCTACCTCCCTGGATGGAAGAGATCTGTACACAGAAACCTCTGGGTTTTGCATGGCTGGAGTGTAGCCTGTTGTACAAAGGCAAAAGCCTCATCTCTTGCCCCATCCACACCCAAGATTATTTATTCATTTATTTTTTTCTTACACCACCTCATTATTTCAGTGTAAATCTCTGCAGAAAGAAAAGATTACCACAAACACCTTGTCAGCCACCTCAAAAGTAAGGCAACCACAACTAAACTACACAAGACCTATTCTGCATTTGTCAGAAACTGGCCATTTAGTGTGGCAGCACCTGCCCTTTGGAACTCCCTGCCTGTTGACATTAGGCAAGTGCCTTCACTGTAATCTTTTTGACACGGGTGGCGCTGTGGGTTAAACCACAGAGCCTAGGACTTGCCGATCAGAAGGTCAGCAATTCGAATCCCCGTGACGGGGTGAGCTCCCGCTGCTCGGTCCCTGCTCCTGCCAACCTAGCAGTTCGAAAGCACTTCAAAGTGCAAGTAGGTAAATAGGTACCGCTCCAGCGGGAAGGTAAACGGCATTTCCGTGCGCTGCTCTGGTTCGCCAGAAGCGGCTTAGTCATGCTGGCCACATGACCCGGAAGCTGTACGCCGGCTCCCTTGGCCAATAAAGTGAGATGAGCGCCGCAACCCTAGAGTCGGCCACGACTGGACCTAATGGTCAGGGGTCCCTTTACCTTTAGCTTTTAAAAACGTTTTTATTTAGATAAGTCTACCCAGATATGTAGAGTGTCAAGGACTGAAAACTCTAATTAAATTAAGGGGTCAAATAGAACATATTTAATCTTGATGTGTTTTAATGCCCAAAGGACTGATAGAATTCTCTTCGAGGGGTATACAATATGCACTCACATCCTTTTGACTTAGAATGACCTTCCTGCTAACCAGCCATGTTTGGATCTGTTTTTGAATCTTCACGTTGATTTTAATTATTATTGTAGGTGTTAAATAGCTGTTTTTAATCATTTCTACTGATAATTTTATTGTTTCATTTCTTTTTGTAAACTGGTTTGCATGTTCTTACAAACAGGTGGTATCTATCTTTTACAAAACAAGTAAGAAAGAAAGCAAATAAAACCCTGCAGTGCACCTATGAGAATTTTACTATTTTCTCTCTCCTTTTAAACAATTCCAAAATGCAATTTCTTTTCTCTTCAATTGATGGAGAAGGGTTGCAAAACCAACCCACCCCAACAAGTTGCTAATGAACAATAAGAGAATGTCAGAACGTTGCTCAATGCATTCTGCTCAACCAGCAGAATATTTTGGGCAACGTCCTCTTTAAAAACCACAAAGCCTGCATGGGGCTTGTGTGAGTGTTTAAGCAGCTGCTGTTGCTCTTGGCAGTGTCAGGCTGCCTTACGTGACCCTGCAGTTTGAGCATTCAATTAAAAGATTGCTGAAGATTGCCTCTGCTAACGTATATGGGACGTCTTGAGCATCATCTATGGCAGGGTTCAAATGGCCCTCTTAGAGGTATCATAGTCAGGATCTGGAACAGAGGTCATAATTAAGATTTAAGCACCTTTGCAGGAAGGGACAGGGAGCTGATTCTTTGAACTAACAAGCACGGCATGGATGAGCAAAGACTGAAAACTCTAATTAAATTAAGGGGTCAAACAGAACATATTTAATCTTGATGTGCTTTAATGCCCAAAGGACCGATAGAATTCTCTTGGAGGGGTATACAATTTGCACTCACATCCTTTTGACTTAGAATGACCTTCCTGCTAACCAGCCATGGGATGAAGTTCAGATTGTCTTATTAAACTGTTATTTGAGTCACAAGAAACTGTAGATTTGGGACCGGGTTGGTGTGTGGGTGGTTAAGAGAAATATTGCGTGAAGCTGAAACCAACAATTCTCTCCCACATGTGTATTTTGATGTGACATGTTCCCTGAATATTTGAGCCAGTGTGGTTTGGAGGAACCATGGAGACCTGGGTTCAAATCCCTGCTTAGTCATGGCCATTGGACCATGGGATGTTGAGCCTGGGCACTGGGCCATCTAGCTCATGACAGGCTGCTCTCAGTCCTCCAGAGTTTTAGACAGATTGGCAAGTATTGCCTTGTTAACATTCACCCTCCTGCATTCAAAATGAAGACACAACAGTTAATAACACAGGCATTCTGCCATTGGTAAGCCAATTAACACATGTAGTGTGATTAAAACCCAGTGTGCTGATTCAGTGCCTCTGGATGCATTGCAATTCTTGGTTCCAGCCTCCCTTTGAGTTTTCTTTGTTCAAGGATGGGCAGCTTAAAGTCAGCTGAGGAGTATCTTGGGAAGCTAAAACGTTACCCCACAGGCTTTTCTCTATATTTCTGATCTCAGATTTGTGCCCATTTGTTCTTTTGCATAGAGACTGTCCTGTTTGTCTTGTGGAGAATGCAGAAAGGCCACTGTTGGTTGATGTATTATATTGGAAAGACAAGCAGGGGAATGATGTTGTGAATGGCATTATTAGTTCCTGTAATGGTGCCCTGCAGTCCCATATCTCTCCCTCTCCTGTAACCTGATGGAACAGAACATAAAAGAGCTAATTACTAGAAACAACAGGCCATTCGACAGTAGACCCAGATGCCAACTCTAGCCCCATCTCTACCCTGACAGCACTATTACAGGAATTAATAATGTTATCCACAACATCAGAGCTTCATTCACCTGGTTGTCTTACAATGCAGTGGCAACACCAGAAAAAAAAATTCAGGAGGGGATACAGAAGGGGGGGAAAGTATTTTCTAGGTGGGTAAGTTTTGTCCCACATATTAAGATCTCCATTGACCTTCATTCCAAGGAAAATGAAGGCACTCCTCAAAACTGGGATGCATGCACCAATATCACCATTCCTTGCAATTTCTGTTTTTGAGTGACCATATTGCCAGTGTCTCTGGCTTCCTAGTGCCCATCTAGTTCCCTGTTCTTAGTTCCCTGTTCTAAGCGCCCTCCAGCTTGCTAGCGCCATGTGTCCAGAGACAGATGCCAAACTGCCCTTCTCCTCCGCTCCCCCAACCCCTTGATACAAGTCTAATTTCATAGAGTTGCCACGGCAGATGATTGGAACGGGCTGTGAGCAGTTGGTACGCTTTCAAAGTGTCAGAAGCGATGGAGGAGAATGAAGCTTAACTCAGACCAGCAGAGCATAATGTTCACATTGTGTTAATATTAACACTTCCAGAGGAGAATGAAAAAAGGCAGTGGGTGGCCTGTGCTTTTTTGCTCATCTCATTAGTCTCCACTGGCAGCCTTTCTCTTCCATAGGGAAAGGAACTCAGTTCCAAGGGGCAGTGGCGGCTGGGGCGGGGTCAGCTTCCAAAACAAACCAATGTCCCTGCAACCCCAATGAGATGTTGCATTCTATGAGGGTTTCAAAATGGGCTATGTTTGAGAGCAGGGGAAAGAAGAAGTAGGGAACCAGAAAAAAGACCATTTGGAATCTGCTCAGCAACGCAGATGGTGTTTATCCATTAGGAGTTAACCCGAGTCCACTTTGTGCTGCAGCACTTTAATAGCATGGCAATAATTTGATCCATTTTTTTCGAAGAGAGCAACCCACCCCACAAACAAAAATGTCAGGAAATGGGGAAATGGAGGATCAGTAATTTTGCATTGGCATGAAAGGATTAGCTCAAACCCTAAGAAATCCATCAGAGCTTGAAAGGGCACAGTTGTCCTTCACACCATTCAGAAATAGCTTGAAGGAAATGATTGCCCCAATCTTGAATCGGGTCAGCCCAGTGAGAGCTGGAGGTTCCACACTGTCCTAGTTCTCAGCCATGGCCTGTTCTGGGCAGCTGGTTACATCCCTGGCCTCTCCAGGTAGGACGGTCTGAAAGCACGGAGACCCTACCACCAGTAAGTTTTGCTTTAAAATGTGGACTGAACAGAAATTCTCCACCACCCCTGCCTGCGGCACAGTGATATGACAAGGCTGTGCTCGTCAATATTCCCTCACTGACACTACTCTGAAAGGGGTAGCAGGAGTGCTGGTGCTATTCATTTTGGCTGTCCCTGGTGTAAGAATACTTCTAATCATGGTGGCTTAAGGCAGCTGAAATATACAGCCATTTAGGTTCTTCTTTTTTTTAAAGGAACACAACCCTGCATGATTCAGATTGTCCTTTTCTGCGAAGGAAGGGAGGGAAAAATCACCTGCTCTTTTGATCAATTGGCAGCTTTTCACTTTATTCTTGATTGAAGGCAGAACAAGGAAGAAGAAAAGAGAAAAGTGCCAGTGGAACCACATCCAGAGGAGATATATATTCTAGCCCTGCTTGCTTCTTCCAAGTGTATTTAAAGTGGGCCTCCGGGGGACAGAGGATAGAAACATGCAGCACGTGACATGGAGGCCAATTTCTTCTGATGGCATGCGGTTTATACCCAGAGCACAAAGACAAGGAGAGCATAACCAGGGCAGGCTGACACATCGCTGAGCTGCATTGTGATGACTTCTAATTCCACTTGTGTTTAGGAGGCGCCAATCCATCTCTCCTTCCCGGTCGCATAGTAACGTGGTGAACTCTGACATGCCTTGCTGAACTTCTTTGAGGAATAATTATAAAGATCTGAAGGAGAGGGAACTGATTACTCACTTCCTTTTTGCAGCAAGGGCGACAATAGCTAAACATTAGAGGGGGGAAAATGTTAAGGTCATGAATCTAGAATATCGTTACAGGAAAGTTTGGGCCAATAGCTGTACTGGAAAGATTGTCTCGCAAACTTCGAGTAAGGCAGAGGTCAAAGAAACACAGACAAGTTTTTAGAAGGCAGGCATTTGACTACTAATATTGTAAGTAGCCAGGAATCTGGGAGATCAGTTCCAACTGCATATAAAATGGTTTGTTCTTTTTAAGGGAAATAGCATCAGTTGAAGAAGGGTGAGATGAATTAAGGACAACAAAATGCGAATCTTTTTAATGGAGTTAAGGTTATAGTAAACCATCAATGCTGTAAAGGGGGAAAAATAGTATGATCTATTATAGTAGTTCAAACATTAAATTAAATAAAAGATTCTTAATTCTACTTGTAGAATATATTGTGCTTTAAATGTAACCTGAATTTTGAAATACTGTTGATGGAGTATTTCTACTTCAATCAATATTACTGTTGTAAAACAGTTTGGTATGGGAAATAAATATAATGAAAAGGAAAATGAAAACCTCTGATGTGGAGGGCTGGGACACTGGATTTTAAGTGTTTGCCACCCCAAATACATTCGTTTTGTATCAGATGCCAGACCAGCCTTTCCCAATGCTTTGGACTCCAACTCCCATCAACCTCAACCAGCATGCTCAGTGGTCAGGGCTGACTAGATTTGAAGTCCCAAGCATCTAGATGTCTCCCATGAGCTGAATTGGTGACGCCTTCTGAGATCTGATGAGTCTCCCCATTTTGTGTATTTGTATGAAGGGGAGTTCCAGTGCAGCTGGGGAAAGGGATCCCGGAAGTGGGGGCAGGGGAGAAGAAGGCTATGATCTTGCAGCTAAGCCATCCAGAATTCACCATGGCACTAGGGTGCTGCAGTTGCTAGCATATTCCTAATGTGCTGAGAAGTTTGAAACAATAAAAAGGGGAAGTTTATGTGTCCACAAACTCAAAAGTTTATATGTTCCTGGACACCAAAATAAACACTGGGATACTCCATATCATACACCTGCACAATCGTAACAATAATGGTTGTACAAAGTTATCATGCTTCCAGAATACTAATAAATGCATGATGACATTGCATTGTCTACACCAGGCAGAGGCAAACTCTGGCCCTCCAGATGTTTGGGACTACAATTCCCATCATCCCTAGCTAATGGGACCAGTGGTCAGGGATGATGGGAATTGTAGTCCCAAACATCTGGAGGGCCAGAGTTTGCCTATGTGTGGTCTACACACACAGAGAGAGAGTTGTATTTATTCATTTGGGGTTTTCTTTTCCCCTCAGGCTTCTCTAAATGCAACACTCTACATAAATTCAAAGATTTCTGTGCTTAAAATACTTCAGTTTTGTGTGTTTTCACTAATAACTTTTGAATTTGACCAGGAGGAAATGTTCAAGCAGTGATACTGATGTAGAACAGAATGTCTCTATTTTCATCTGAGGAATGTTGGAGGGTATGAAGTAGTTGCATACAACAGTCATACTGGGAGTGGACCCACTGAATGTAATGCACATGACTAATATAGGTTCGTTCATTTAAGTGGGCCTACTCTGAGGAGAACTTGGTTGAATGCAACTCTATAACTCCAAATCTAACCCCACATACATGAACTAATCCCACTGAATTCCACGGGACTTCCCCTCGAGTAGACATGAGTTAGGCTTGCGCTATAAACTAACTTATCCAGTGTCACATTTGCTGCTGACATTGCAAAATTATAGCATCATCAACAGTAGAGAGCCAGGATGCTTTAAATGGGCACTTACAGAAAAAAAGCTCAAAGTCAAATTTTATTAAGAGTCTATTAACAACTTGCCATCACCAGCTCATTAGCAGAGACGTGAGACAACAAAGCTATTAAAAATGTATAAAACCAGCAATATGCCTCTCTTCACTGTTTTACAGGCTACTAGCAAGGCCAATAAAACAGAGTGCCAAATTTATTTATTTTATTTTTTAAAAAAACCCCAACAACAATTACACAGCAGTTTAAAGATCTGGAGCATCCTTCCCATATTAACCCCTGACAAATGTTTGGAGTGGGAGAGAAGATATGCACTTATATACATTACAAGTGCTTTCAAGCCAAGAATATCAAAACATTCTTCACTATGAATTAATAAATTACCAAATCAATCTTTTATTTTATTTAATGTATTAATGCAGCCCCTGCTCTCAGGTTTATAATCTAAGAGACACAACAGGAAAGGGAAAGAGATTGGGGTGGAGCGGGGAGGAAATTTAGGCATCAGTGCTGTGCCAAATGGTCTTTACAGTGGTGCCCCGCAAGACGAATGCCTCGCAAGATGGAAAACCCGCTAGACGAAAGGGTTTTCCGTTTTCAATGCGCTTCGCAGGAAAAATATCCATATGGGCTTGATTCGCAAGACGAAAATGTCGTGGGAGTCTAGAGAATTTTTTTTTGCTTTACCCCCCCCTTTATCTAAACTGCTAAGCCTTTAATAGCCTTTAATAGCCTTTTAGCAGCTAATCCCCTAAGCCTTTAAGCCTTTAATAGCCGCTAAACCGCTAATAGCGCTAATCCGTTAAGCCGCTAATAGGGTTGCTTCGCAAGACGAAAAAACCGCTAGACGAAGACTCTCGCGGAACGGATTAATTTCGTCTTGCAAGGCACCACTGTATATTAAACATTCACAGCATACGGGAGTTGAAGTGAAATTATTGTTGGGGAAGGGGGTAAAACACTTTTTTAAAATTGTGAGAGATGAGGTTAGGAGGGCCATAGGAATCAAATAAGGCGGCAGTACCTCTGATGGGGGAAATGTCATGCCTCTTCCCGGGGAATTTGTCCACCTTTGGTTCCCACCTGGCAATCAACTCTCACTTGTGGCTCCTAGAAGCTGTCAGCGTGCGACAGCAGCCACACTCTGGGAAACCGCTTTGACTGGCCAGCTAAACCAGATGAGGGTAGCTGATGGGTCTCAAACCCTCAGTACGTTAGGGACATCCTTTGCATGCGAAGACACGTTTTGGTGGATTGAGCAGATGAGACCAATAGTGGGTCCAAAGGCCAATAAGCTGATCAACCTTGGAAGGTAGTCCATCAAACTCTCACCCTCAACCTCCACACCTTGCATGATACCTTCGGGAGAAGGAAAGGCTAAGGAGTACACCCTACACGAATCCAGAGTGGTGCCTTGTACACCTCCTTCAGGCAATTCCTGCAGCCAAGCTAGTGCAAACACACTGCTGTGCTTTCCTTTGGACCATATCAGTGAGGCCAAGAGAGGGTCTTGTTGTCTGGGAGCCTAGGACCTCCATACACTGGCCAGGCTTGCGTCCCATGGAGGTCACTTTAGTGCTGCTAACACAATGGTTGGACTTCACCCCCGGAGGTGCACTCCATGGTTTCTCAAGACAGACAGATGCCAACAACAGCAATACAAGAAACAGATCACAACTGTTCCTAAAATTATATTGCAATACAAATATTCGCTTGCCAATTTAAAAAGCCAGGCTTGCAAGCAATTCTCATTCTGGTCTGCTCCAGAAGCTCACTGCTGAATTCTCCTTACCGCTCAACATCCTTACATAGCCACACTGCCAATATTCATCTTAAACTGATGATTCGGGTTATCATGACGGATCATACCACCAGGCTTTCCCTAATCTCAATAGTTTCTTGTCTATCTTGCTTCTGCACCAGACTTCTCTCTCAACTCCTTCTCAGCCAGTGTTTCTCTGTCATCTTCTTTCTTGATTTCCTCTTCTCTTCCAAAGTCTCTCAACAGAATAGGCCTACTAGCAAGCCTATCCTCCAACCAATCAGATTTGAATTGGCATAGAATGCTCCCCCTCCACTTTTCCCATCCAGTGAGTGATCATGAATTGCTACCCAGTAAGCCAATCAGGTGTGATTTTAGAATCCTCTCAGTATTTTAAAGAACCCAGTTTTCCTCAGACCAGTCTTATGTTAGTAAATAACAACTATCTGTCAGCCACCAACTGATACTTACGGTAATATTTCAAATTTACATGACCCCACATACACATACATTATATCTAAACCAAACCCTGTTTTAGTAAACAGCGATTTATCCATGCTAATTATTAACCTTATTAAAGAGGGAGGGGAGACCCCAGTGTCTCCAAGCTGAGATACGAGAGCCCCATCTGTATTGGCATTCTGCTGGCTTTTGAAGATGCACCTGTTTACACAGGTATTCCTTTGATTTCTCCTGTTTTCATTACTGTGTTTTAATGCAATTGCCTTTTTTGTGTGTGTTAACTATGGATCTTTATATTTTAAGTACTTTTATGAGATTGTTTTACTGTGTATTTTAATTATGGGTGCTTATGCTCTGCACAATAGGATTTTTATACTTTAAAACCACTGAGAAGCCTACTTTGGTATTGAGCATTATACTGATAAACAATTAGCACAGGCCTCAGGATGCTGGCAAAGACCCACATAGTTAAGTCCCAGTTTACCCAGTGGGTTAACTAAGAAAACCTACTGGGTTTTCTGAAGTAGGATGGCAATCTCCTCTTTCTTGCAGATGAGGGCAACATGTGACACTGAAGGAGCGTGTGGCCTTTTGCCTAAGCACTGAGGCAAGCCTCTCGCACCAGAGGAGAGAAAAAACAGGCAAATGCTGGTATAGGAACTGAACTCAGCTATACATCACTGTCGGCAGCAATTTGCACCAGGGCATGGAGCTCTCATAGGCGTGTTATTGGCTGGATGGTGCAGTGCTCCTGGCCATATATTACTGGTGCCTGCCAGGGGAGGGGATTGTTCAGAAATAAGTGGGCCAGCAGCAAGTAATTGATGCCCAAGGTGGAGTTCATCTCATTTTTCTTTCTCTGGTGCACACATCCACTTGCAAATCCCTCTCCTGTTTTATAGTAAATACCATGATGAGTGCAACGTATCTGAAGGGGTGGCATCTTGGAGGAATCATGTTGCAGTCACATCACTGATGCACAGAGAAGAAGGTGAGGATGCATACTGAAAGCAGCCTTCCCCAAGCTGGTGCCCTCCAGATGTTTTGGACTACAGCTCCCACCAGCCCCAGCCAGCAGCGGACCCAAGAGAGCAAATATTGGGGGAAGGTGCTCTTTTAGACCAGTACCCAAGTACCAAATGGATCCCAAGCCATTTAGGGCTTATTGCACCAGTGTCAACACTTTGACTTGGACCTGGTAGCTCACTGGAAGCCTGTGCAGTTCTTTCATGACTGGCAACTCATGGTCCAGTCGGGTTGCCCACATTCCAACCTAATACAGTGGTACCTCTGTATTAGCCACAGGTTACGTACGCTTCAGGTTACATATGCTTCAGGTTACAGACTCCGCTAACCCAGAAATAGTGCTTCAGGTTAAGAACTTTGCTTCAGGATAAGAACAGAAATCGGGCTCTGGCGGCACAGTGGCAGCAGGAGGCCCCATTAGGTAAAGTGGTGCTTCAGGTTAAGAACAGTTTCAGGTTAAGAATGGACCTCCGGAACGAATTAAGTACTTAACCCGAGGTACCACTGTAGCTGCATTTTGCACCAGCTGCAGTTTCTAGAGACCAAGGGCAGTCCCATATAGGGCGCATTGCAGTAGTCCACTTGGGAGCAGACCTATTTTGGGTGATATAGTCTAATATATGCAATGGTTAACTACACTGAGGAGGAGATATAAAAGGTACGTTCCCCTTTTTAGGGGTTCAAAGTTGTTGAGCTTCTTTTAGGGAGGGAAGATGCTCGATGCTCCGTTCGGCTCAAAGTTGTTGAGAGAGGGGAAGTGCCCCGTTTTATGCCCGTTTTATTGGGGTTCTGGGAGGATTAGTCGCTCACCAAGTGATCGCTGTGGAAGGAATTTGCCTCACAGCAAAAACTCCATCTTCCATTCCAGAGACCAGGAGAAAATGCAGGGAGGGGAGAGGGGCCGGGGCCGGGTGGTCTTAGGCAAAAGCAAAGGAAAATGAGCCCGTGATCGACTGCAACCTTCTGGGGATCGGCCAGTCAATCCCGATTGACCTGTTGGCCATCCCTGGTCTAAACCACAGAGCCTAGGGCCTGCTGATCAGAAGGTTGGCGGTTCGAATCCCTGTGACTGGGTGAGTTCCTGTTGCTCGGTCCCACCTTCTGCCAACCTAGCAGTTTGAAAGCACATCAAGGTGCAAGTAGATAAATAGGTACCACTCGGGCGGGATGGTAAATGGTGTTTCTGTGCGCTGCTCTGGTTTCGCCAGAAGTGGCTTAGTCATGCTGGCCACATGACCCAGAAGTTGTACGCCAGCTCCCTCAGCCAGTAAAGCAAGATGAGCGCCACAACCCCAGAGTCGTCCGCGACTGGACCTAATGGTCAGGGGCCCCTTTACCTTTATATTCTGAGGGGGTTCCTCATGTGAGCAAACATACGACTAAATCTTTTTGTAGGGCTAAAAAATGTGAGTGTCCAACAGCTTGCTCACTCTCTCTGTGTGTTTAAACAGGACTGAGAGCAGAGATCTGAGTTTCTGTTGGCTACTGAGGAAGGATGCCTTATTTGTGTGCATGCTCATGAGAGTCGGCATTGGCCTAAAGCTCTGCTAGGTGCTAAGAATTAATAAAACTCCAATGCTTAAGAGTGCGTTGTTTCTTTTTAGGGGAGGATAGGGAAAGGAAAGAACCAGAACAGAGGGAGGCCACACAACATTTCTCCTATCCTGGAGAAGGAACGGTGATAGCAACAACCACTTCTGAACTAAAATAGTTTAGTTAGGTGCTGTTTCTGAAACTGCAATGCTTAAGTGTCCAAAGTGTGTTTGAAAGGGATGAAAACGGTGAGAAAACCAAATGTGGCAACACCCCTGCAACCTTGTTGGCCAGGCACTCAAGAACTCCTTGCAGCTCCATCCAGTCTAGTGAGCACCAGTCACCACTGGCAAACCTCCCCCCCCCAATAATGGGGTTCAGGAGTGCAGCTCTCTCTCTCTTTCATACACACCAAGTGTGTACATTGTTATAGATTTTGCAATTCACAAAGCAGCAGGCACTAATCAGTGGGTCGAAATCTACAAGCCTTTCTTTAACTGCACCCATGAACTCAGTTTTATAGAAGCTGCTGTATGGATTTCCCCCTATCTCAGCCAATAGACTGGCTCTGTCTGTCCGCTCTTCTTATATCATCATAAGTGCTTTTGTGTGTGTGTGTGAAAACAGCTAAGCATTTTAATCCAGTGCGGGTGCCCAGCTGGAGTGCATTGATCCAAACTGTTGGCCAGTTGCTAGCAGGCAGAAAGCCATCCTGGCCTGACAGCGAACTGCTAAGGGAGATGCCTTTGAGGCTTCTGGCTCCGAGTGGCACATCAGTAAATCCCAGCTCATTGGATCAGTTCTGCAGCAGAGTCACCAATCATGCAACAACAACTTCCCATCACTGGGAATGCTATTGCCAAGCAACTGGTGGGTTGGAGGACTATTGGCAAGGCAGAGTGCCAGTACATTGGAAATTCACTTAGGGAAGGGCCATAGCTCACTGACAGAGCTTTTGTCCTGCATGCAGAAGGTCCCAGGTTCAATTTCTGGTATCTTCATTTAAAGGCTGGGAGATACCTCTGAAATGCTGGAGAGCCACTGCCAGTCTGTAAAGCTAAAAGGACAATTGTTCTGAATTGGAGTGACCCTGATCCAACCTGGATCTGGGCTTCAAACTGAATTGCACAGTGTTTAATTAGAATTGGGAGTAGGGGAGAAGAAGATGCAGATTGGCCAAGGAAGACTCTCAATGCTGATCGGTTTGTACAGGTCAGGTGATTCCTCCCCAACTTCCACGGCAGATCTGCCCCATCTTCTCGGCAACTCAGAAGTTTGCTCTTGCAGCTTGAAGGCTTTCTTTGCTCCCCCTTCCCTTGAATGGCAATCAGGTCTGGCACTAAGTCTCCACCACTTGAGAAATAGCTGAGTGAATCGTCCCTTAAATACAGGAGGTGACTTGATGCCACCGCTAAAGTTTTATGGAGCGTCAAAGTCCGGGGGGGAGTTAGGATTTTTCTTGCAGGCACACACTTAGTCACCAGTTCGCTTTAGGGCCCAGCTCAAAGAGAGTTATTCTCCTTGCAGGCTGGGTTTCAGGCTGCTCAATCATTCCTTGCCAGCAAGATGCAGACATAGAGCCACGATCCTCAGAGAAGGATCATCAATACTGCAGTAGTAATATAACCTTCAGCTTTCTCTAAGCCTCTAGTCAATCACCTGTCAGTGGAACCCATTTATCCAGGGATGCAAGGGAGGGGTGCTGGGTGGGGGATGCTATACTCTTCCAGAACGCCTCTTGACTCCACTTACGTGATGTTCGCTGTTGCTTTTTGCTGCCTGTCTCCCTCTCTTGAGTCCTCCTCCCGCCTGGTGGTATGGAGGCTGGAGAACTGCAACGAAAATGGAAGCAGGAGTGGAAATTGCTGGTTCTCACCCTATTCATCCTATGAATACGACTGGTTGTTCTTCTTCTTTTCAGTTCACAAAAAAAATGTAATTGATTACCTCCCCCACCCCCAGTTGCATTGTGTTTTGTTTGCATTGAAATGTAATGTAGTAACAATGTAATTAATGCAATTTTACCACAGTGGACAGTGTGACAAACAATGTAGTTTTGTGTGGAAGACGAACCGTAGCAGAAAGGAACCAGCGTTGCATGTGATGAATACAGCAAGGAATGGAAATCAATGCCTTCTGACATCCCTGTGTGGTGGAGAATATTTCATTGTTGGAGTAAGATTCATTGCCAGTCCAGTTGGCTTCTGTAGGTGCAAGAGGAGAGTAGCGTCATGCACTTTGCTTCAGGCAGTCAAATGTCTTGGGCTTGCCACATGCCTCCTTGTTGTCCTAAAGGCACAGATGCTCCTCTTGAGATAGAAAAAAATCTGGCTCAGTCCAGTGCTCTTTAGAAGAAATAGAATAAACATACAGATTCACTTCCTCACCTCTTGACCTTGTAACACTTCAAATCAATGATAATGAAGGTGGTGGGGTAGGACAGTGGGGAAGGAGGCCAACAGTAGGTGGCGCCAGAGCCAATGTTAGGTGGAGCCCACTGTTTCTAGTCTTGCTCCCCATCCTCTTCCTGCCTGCTGAATTCTGAAAGGGCAACACAGAGATGACAGAGGAGGAAGAAGGCAACCGGTAGCCCCCTCTGGACTGGTGGTAAGTGAGAAGGCAGGAACAGGTAGCAAACTGAGGGCAGGCTGAATTTGGTGGGACATTGCCCCCCTTTGCCCTAACAGAGGAGCTTCCCATGGCTTGCAAAGCTTTGCACACGTTAAGTCCTGCTCAGGACATGCTGAGTGGATAGGGAAATCCTTCACCTCTTCTCTTCTCCTGAGCCTCCTGCCAAGTTAACTCCACATCCAGAACCATGGGCTTTGGGCCTGTCTACTCAGCCCCTACTGCTTGGTAATTTCCCTTTGGCAGCTAGAAAATTATGAAGAATTACCATGGCCTGCTCACGAGAGAGAGAGAGACAGAGACAGAATCACTGGGGCAGGCCTGCTCATATTTCAGAGAGCGGAAGACGGACACAAAAGCACACATACCTTGGGCACATCACCTATCTGGTTTACTCTCCTTTCCTACATATCATTGTACCAGGGCCAGACACCCTGCCTATTTGTATTATGGATCTAGTGCAATAGAATAGTAGAACTGTAGGGTTTGAAGGGACCCCAAAGGTCATCTAGTCCAACCCCACAATGCAGGAATGTTTTGCTCAGCATGGGGCTCGAACCCACGACCCTGGGGTTAAGAGTCTCATGCTCTACTGACTGAGCTATTCTGTTGCTCATTAAAAAACAGCAACAACTTTGCCCATGGGCAGCCCTTCAGACCCACTGCCACCCCCTTTTATCGCTGTTTCCAGCGGCAATAAGGAAAACGCAGGTGCTCTGCTTGCTCCCCCCTCGCTGGTATTTTGGGGACATTTTTAGATTGCAAAGATGCTCTGACGAAACGTTTTCGCATCCAGCTAACGATGTGTTTCACTGATCAGCGTCACAAGAAAAAACTAAACTTTGTGTCCTTAGAACTACTGGTAACCTTACAAATGAATCGAGGACAACCCAGCCTGTGTTCCTTAGTCTCAGGTGCTCCTACTCAGAAGTATGTCCTGCATTGCAGAGGGCTGGACTAGATGACACTTTGGATCCCTTCCAACTCCACAGTTCTATGATTTTATGATTAAAGGCAAAGGGACTTTCTCACAGGTAAATCCACCCAGGAAAAAGAGGATGTTGTACCTGGGAATGAACAGCAGCAACAACAAAGAGGCAGGCTGAGACTGGCTGCAGCGGGTGCTGGCAGCAGTAGCTCAGAGCAGGATGGTAGAGAAAGGGAAAAAATAGGATAGCCCCCAAACTGAGATATGGCAAATGCACGTCGCCAGGCAAATCGCCATGTAATCTGTTCTGAAACCTTACCATTTTACTGCCACTTAGAAGAAAGCTGGATGTTAGTCATGCAAAAATCATCAGATCAGTATAAATTTCACATGGTTCATCCAAAACATATAAGAGAGCAAGTGAAAAGCAATGTGTTTTTTTCATACGGTGCCAGTCTGATATCCTACAGGAGTGGTCTTTTTTTTACAGTTCCTTGTTGCAACTGGAGTCCCAGCAGGCACAGGCAACAACCAGCAGGGGGCAGCAGAGGCCAATGATAAGGTTTGTGCTCAGCCCTCCAAATAAATGCTCAATGTCTCATCTCCCCCCACTCCACCCCGTGCCATTAGCTGACAAATGCCATTCCTGCAGAAAAACAGCAGCTTCAATCCTTCACCTATTTTAACTTGGATTTATAATAAATGTCCCAACTGGATTTTAAAAGGGGCTGCTGCATAAACTGTGCTATGCCTCTGCAGGAGTCGTGGCTGGCAGAGGCGGAATGGATAATCTTGCCAGCTGCAGAGTAGGAGGATCAACAGGAATCACTTTTTTTCCTTTGGGGTCAAAGCAAGAACAGACAGGGCACTTAGAAGAGGCAGATGGACTAACCATGAGCTGGATGATCTCCCAACCAATGTTTTGTTGGCTGGGAACGTAAATAAAGTAAAATAATAATAATAAAGTAAATAAAAAGAGAATTCCCTGGGTGATTAAGATCCAGGTTTTGGGCAACTATTCTTTGGTGAGCGAACAAAGTAAAATGTCCACTTCTGCTTTAACAAGTGTGTGTATTGCATTGTTGAGATGTGACTGAAGAATACCTAGAAGTTGCAGCCTTCAGCAGCCCAGGTGACAGCCATTTCTAGCCAGTGCAGCGATCATCTTTAAGTCTGGATGTTGCCACCAAAAATGGAGGTTGCCAGAAGTTCAAGGGTTGTATTTATTTATTCTCACTTCATTTATGGATCGCTTCCTCTGAAACATCCTGAGGTGCTTGACAATGGAAATATATCTACACACATGAAAATATACCACACGCGTACACACACACACTCACAATTTTAAATCCAATACAGATGTAGTCTGGGATATGAATCTTCAAAGACTGGTGAGAAATAAAATGCAAGGTGATCTTTCAGGTGTGCCACTTTAGTCATTTAACTGTGACCAATGGTGGCCTTGTCAGACAAACCACATAGAATCATAGAATTGGCTCCAGACAGTCCACATCCCCTGCTCCTAAGCTGTTTATTCTCAACATTGCAAGGTATAAATCCCTTTCTTTTCTCCACCCCTTCATTCTTTTTGCCCCCAGGGTTCCCCCTAACCTATTCAGCTTGTCAAGGAGTTACAGCTATGCATAAAAACTGCATGATTAAAAAAAAAATTATGGAGACCTGGGCAGGAGTCAGCCATCATGATTTGAATTGCACTCAGGCTGATAAGAAGGTAGGAGTGACGGGAGAAATTTGATTCATTTCACATTTAAATGTGAACCAGTGTCATGGATTGCCAGCTGAACAGCAGCCTGAAGGGGGAGAAGGTGAAGTGACTCCACCTGCGGCTGATCAGCCTTCAAGGACACAGAGAAGGCACTGATGAGAACCAGCTGGCTTCAGCCTACTTAAGTAGAGCTCTCAACAGCACTCACAGGCTGGTAACAATGTTTGTAGTTCCTGGTCCTACCTTGATGCTTCCTGCTCGTTTTGACCCTTGACCACTATGATCCTTGGATTCCCTGACTCCTGGGCTGCCTGACCAAGTGGACTGCTGTTCTCCTGAGCCTGGGACTGGACCTGACTTGGGATGCTGCCTCTGCCTCCAGGCAAGTACATCTCATAGACTCTTCTGGTTGGTTGGCCACTGAGCTCTGCTTGTTGTTGCTCAGCAATGAGACTACAGCAACCGACCTCATCCACAACTTTCTGAAACTGTACAGAAACCGATATGTGGCCATCCTTCTTTGAATTTTGCAGTGCCAACCGTGTGACAATAACACACAAAGTGCATTATATTGGGGGAGGGAGCTGCTTTGCAAACAGGTGCAACTTAGGAGCAATTCAAAGTAAAATTTCTGGTGAATTTTCATGAAGTTAAAAAAACAAAAAACAATAGCCACAAACTATTGTGGAGAACTGAAATTAAGGTTGGAAAAATGAGAAACTGAAACTGGTAGGTTTGCCCATTTGTAAACTGTAGGAAGCCCGGCTTCTCCAGCACCTGGCCTTGCATAGCCTTCTTTTGGTGATGGGGCAGTTACAGGAGTTTTCTTTATATCAGGCATGGCCAAATTTGGCCCTCCAGCTATTTTGGGACTACAACTCCCATCATCCCTAGCTAACAGGACCAGTGGTCAGGGATGATGGGAATTGTAGTCCCCAAACAGCTGGTGGGCCAAGTTTGAGCATGCCTGCTCTATATCATCCTCAGAGGTGGTGCTTTGTGTTTGCCCGCCTGCATGAGGGTCAGCGGGCATCCATGACTTGTGTCAATGGTTATTTCCAGGCGTCGAAGACTGGGCTGGCATATGCACTTTAAAATTGGTCTCTGGTTTTCATGGCTGTGGACGTAATGAATTGTTAAAGTATGAAAATGTCTCGTTAAAAAGTAAAAAAAACCACACCCAACAACTGTAGAGGTTTTCGATAGGTGGACTCTGAACTGAGACCAGTTAAATTTGCAAAGTTGCCCAGAGACCTTTTGATTCTCTGCCTACCAAACAGCTCTGGTTCAAAGTTCCTTTTCCAGCTTCTGTTCCCCTTATCCCACCCCAGCCCCAGTTCCCTTGTCAGAGAGAAAGTGAGATGCTCCAAACATTCTTTGGCTTCCCATCCTCCCAGATCACTGTCAGCCACAATGCCAATGCTAACTCAATGGATATGTATTCTTTTTTATATTAAAAATATTTTTCCATATTTAGCTCTGGTGCTGTCTTCACACTGAGAGCTGAGATGGTAGAATAATAATAATAATAAAACACCTTCATTCTATGGACTGCCTCCTTCTTCCTCCCCACCTTCTAATCCAAGGTGTGTCCAAACTGCCACTATTTTGGGGTGGAATTCAATAATATACAGGCAAATTCATGTTACGCAATTATGGCTGATTGAGAGGCCCTTGCAACAAACCTGCTTCCCTGAAAGATCAGTGTTTTTGTGAGAAGGAAAATAATGGGCGAAGTGCAGGATAACATTTGTCTAAAGCAATGGCGCCTCACCTCCCTGCAAACAAGTCCAGATGGATGCCCCCTAAATTGGAAAAGCCCCAGTTCTTCAAGCTTGCACTGAGGAAAATGGTTATGGGTTTTTCTTGATAAGCTCTTGGAACAACATCAGGTTTTCAGCGTTTGACCTGAGGTTTCTTCATCTCAGTCTCTTTCTTCTCAGAGTTCTGATTCCTATGGACAATGGTTTATTATAATTATTGTGCATTCATGGTTATTTGCACTCATGATGGTATCAGGGTCTTTATGTGCAGTTCCGCGTTCAATGATTTCAAAAGGTCCCTCCTGAACCATACATTCAAAGCACTCTTGCGCCACTTTTAACAGTCATGGCTTCCTCAAAAGCATCATGGGAACTGTAGTTTAAGGGCAGGGAGTTGTCAGGAGATTGCCTACTGTATTCCACTCACAGAGGTACAATTCCTGTAGTTCCCTAGGAAGAGAAAGAGTTTGTTAAACTACTCTGTGAATTGTAGCTCTGTGAGAGGAGTGGGGTCTCCTAATAACTCTCACAATCCTTAAACTACAGTTCCCCAGGATTTTTTTCGGGGAAGCCATGGCTGTTAAAATGGTATAGCAGTTCTTTAAATGTAACAAAGGTTACATTTGTGGGCTTGAAGAGTTAACAGTGTCCTGGAAAAAACACCTCAAATAGCGAGGGAGCCACCTTAATATGCTGAAAAATGGAAAGCGTAACGCTGGCGGTCAACAAAAGAGGTTAAAAGACTGTCTCAAGGCAAATCTAAAAAAAAGTAGTATAAACACTGACAACTAGGAAACACTGGCCTGTGAGCGCTCCAGTTGGAGAACAGCCTTTACCAAAGGTGTCATGGGCTTTGAAGACACTCAAACTCAGGACGCAAGGGAGAAACGTGCTAAGAGGAAGGCACGCTTGGCAAATCCACACCGTGATCAACTCCCGCCCGGAAACCAATGTCCCCACTGTGGAAGGACATGTGGATCCAGAATTGGCCTCCACAGTCACTTATGGACTCATTGTTAAAACTGTGTTTATGGAAGACAATCTTACTCGGCTACGAGTGATCGCCAAAGAAGACGACATTAGGCACATTTTCCTTTTGGCTGCCACATTCTCCCCCCCCCCCCGAACTTTAATATATTTTGCGCATAAATCGATCCTTACAATCTCTAATACAAAACAGATCTTATTCT